CGCGGCCGCCGCTGCTACAGTACAGTCGGTACAGAAGCGGCTCGACGAGGAAGAGGAAGAGGAAGGAGGAGGAGAAGAAGGAGAAGGAGAGCCGCCGCCACAGCACACTGAGAAAAATGTTTGGACGCCAGCAACAAACTTTGTTTGATTAGTCCGACTTCACCACCATCACAAAACGTTTTGATGCCAGTAGACAAACAGTTTCTTTGCGAGCACTAAACTCGTTCATCGTCGTGACCTTTCGTATTCTACGCGCCTCATCAAATGTTTCGACGGGAGAATCTAATTTCCGGTGGTTCCCGGCTACTGGACTTGTGTCGTCACCCGATACCGGAAACAAACGATGCTTGCGACCGAACAATTTTTCATTGCATCTAAACCATCATTCATCCGAGAGTTCGAGTCATTCACTTCGACATGGCGTCAGCGTCGAAACCGGAAAATGGGATACGGACTCGGAGTGAGAGTGAGAGTCTTGGTCGTGGCGAGAGTGATGGGGAAGTGGCGTCTATTTTAACCAAGTGGGGATTTGAACGGCTCTGTAATCTGTTTGAAGGTGAGTGTATTACTAGTGTAATTATGAACTATTAGCTTTCGCCTGTATTTGTCTCTGGTTTCGTTGCGGACTTATTCTTTGGCACAAATTATTCGACGTACAGTTGTGTTGAGGTTATGGTTTTCGGTAGTGTTGCACCGGCACATTGGTTTCGTCATTGCTTTATTTATTGCCTAGTACGTGACCCATTCTATGGTGATGTCGTGACTCGAACATTTGGAAATTGTAAAAAGTTTCATTTTGAGAACCTAACCTCCAACATGCTACAGTTTCATGCATTTCACGTAACACATGTCCGTGTAGGTTATGCTTAGAAATTTGACATGACGTTGTGACATTTCTGTTACAGACAATAAAATTGATCTGGAGGTGTTTACGGTGCTGGATGAAACAACTGCCCGGTCCTTCCTTCGACCCGGTGACTTCGTAAAATTTTGGAAAGTATTTGAAGCTCGGAAGGGGGAGTTGCAAGCATGTGATCCACCACCCACCAAGAAGCCATGCTTAGATCCTGGTAAGTAAACATTTATGGTCATACATTTAAAAGTACACTATCTGCATTCTTTTTTTTTTAATTTTTCACATTATAATTTGTGTTAGTGACAACCATTCCGGTGCCAGTTGGCGAGCCTAGCACATCCCGAAGCAAGCCTGACAGTGCTAGTTACTTCACTCTTTCAGACGATGAGGAAGCTGACGTAGCATCACATCACCCTCTAACAGACACTGCCATTGATGTGAGCATTTATTCAGAGTCTTAAAGCTGTGAATGTACTCCGGTTATACTAATTGTGACATGTTTTGCAGGAAATAAGACAACTGTTTAATAGCTTTGAAGGTCAGGTGCTACTTTCTACATCAGAGCTCACTGATTCAGACCGGGATTCCATTGCGCAAATTGTGATTTGCAACGAACTTCGAAAGAATAAGCCTAATGGACAGTGAGTATTCGACTTCCTGCACTTCAAGATTCTTTCCTCTGTTTTACTATTGTTAAAATCATCACTTTATTAATTGCAGCATCAAACGTGCACGACTAATTCAGCTTTCTAGGATAATAACAAGCATTTTCAAAGATGAATCAAAAGTAGGTTAAAACTACTGTACAGGTTGAAAATATTTTGATCTACCACTGTCAATTATTTTCTAATCCGTTTCCTTTTTGTAATGTTTCAGGAGATTTATTACGTGCCATACACAAAAGTAAACTTGGTGGTCTATGCTGCCAAAGGGAAATTGATCAGTCAGTACTATAGTTGGAGAAAAAAGGGTGTGGCTGCCAAAGTTTTAAATGACATCAGAACTGTAAAATGGAATCCTGCAAGCCCTGGTTTGTATATGGTTTATATACTTTTGTAATTTTAGTCATGGCCACATGTTTTTAATTCTTTCTTTTTTGGTTTAGACTCATTAATGACAGCAGATGTGGAATTATCTGTTAAATGGCTAAAAGTCAATTTAGGACCACAGTCTGTTGTTGAGGCCCACTGGGACAAAACGTTTGCCCATCGTATTAGCTTGCTGGATATCAAGAGGAAAGATAAAATTTCAATAGCAGAGTACTACTCTTCTTTCCCTGTGCTTCGCCAACCATGGGGTTATAGTCTGGTGAGTTATAGTATTGGTTTTCTTCTTTGCATAACAATATCTGTTTGCTCCTAGCATGCAAGTTATTTTTGGTGTTGTTGCAGCTTCTACAAGATTACAACAAACTGTTTGATGGCACTCAAAATAATTTTGCTTCAAATTGGAAAGGGTTTGCCCTGAAACTTACTGAGAAGCTAAAAAAGATTAAAGGATTACTTGTTGACCATTTGGATAGCTTTATTCAGCAAGAGCAAGAAGGTTAGTACTATTTTACTTAATGTTATTTTACAAAATGTTTATTTAGATTTTGACTAATAACTGTCCTTTTTTGCAGTCAATGTGTGCCACCATTTCCTGATGCTCTTTGCTCACTTGTTCCCACCTCAAGTTGTTGTGCGAGGAAGGAAGCCAAATAACTGGACAGCAACAAAAGCTGAAATGCAGCAGGGGTTTCTGCTTCATGTCAAAACTGAAGAAGAGTTGCATGTATTTATAGCTAACAAGTTGAAACGTCTCAGATCCTTTAAAAAAGTGCTTCAATTCCAGCCGTTTCCAGTTATTGTGGGCAAAGATCTTCGCTCTGTTGAACAGTCTCTTGTTGTGGTGGAACCAACTCAGTTTTATGTTGTTGAGTCACCTTCTGCAGCTGTAGATATTTGTTTCAAAATCTACCAGTCACTTGTTGTTGACTACCCTTCAGAGAGCAAGGGAATGTGGCGTGTAATCCAGCAATGTGTTTTTCATGTCACAACTGAGTTTGATGAAGTGATACCTTCTCTGATTCCTCTACTGAAGTACTTTACTTCTACTGTTTAGTTCTGTTTAGCCTCATTAAGTTTTGTTTTTGTTTTTGATTTGGTATTGTTTTTTTCTGTTAAGTTTTCAATTAGAATTAGTTTTCTTTATTGTTTTTGCTGTTAACTAAGCAAGCTACTGACTTATAGATTTCAGGTCAAAACCTAAATTAGTTTAATTGTATTTGGCAAAAGTTTTGTTCATCATGTACGGCTGTCCACTGTGTGAGGTTGTTCTTGACAATCTAAGCACTCTTGGTGATCATGTTAGGATGTTACATCCGTCTTCATTATCTTCTTTTATTAAGTGTGGACAAGTAGGCTGCCCTCGAGCCTTTAACAATTTTGAATGCCTTAAAAAGCATTTAAGGGTGGGGTGTACTTTCCCTCCACCTTGCCCAGTTTTTGACAATGTGACTCCTAGGCCTGCTGACAATACTGCTGGTGTTGACTGTACAGATGATGAAGTATTTATTAATTATACTTCTGATGACCCAGTAGATTTACTATCTCATATTTCTGTTGAGGATGTGCCATGTGATGATCAAACTGCTAATTGTAACATGAGTGATATAGATCTTACAGAGTTACAAAATTCTGCCCTTGAATTCATAGCTGCCTTCTATGCAAATCCAGATGTGTCACGTTCACTTGTGCAGGATATTATGGACAAAAGTAAATTTCTATATTTGCAATGTAATTTAGTTCTTAAGAAGGTTATTAATGAATTGCATCATAGTAAAGAAATTTCTCCAGAGGTGAATGCTAAGTTACTTGACACTATTTCTGCTATTTCCAATCCTTTCAGTGGGCTTGAAAGTGAGCATTTACGATTTAAGAAACTGATTGAAAGAGGTGCTTTGGTAAAGCCAGTTTCCTTTGTGTCTGGCAGAAGAGGGGTCACTAGTGTTACCGGTCAATTTATGAGTATGAAAGATAAGCTTCGTAGGTTTTTTGAATTGCCAAAGGTATTGTCAACTGTTAAGTCTTATGTAAATGAGTTAGAAGTGGAGAGCAAAAACAGTTCCATAAGCAATTTTATTCAAGGTGAGCATTGGAAAGCTAAGCGTAAAAATTTTGTTGGAAAGTTTGTTTTGCCTTTGTTTTGGCATTTTGATGACATTGAATTAGGTAATGCTCTTGGATCGCACAATAATATTCACAAGCTAGGTGCCATGTATGCAAAGTGCCCATGTTTGCCACCGCAGTTTGCCTCGCTGCTTGAGAATCACTTTCTTGTTGTACTGTTTCATTCATCAGATCGTAATCCTGACAATCCTATCTTAGAGGCTTCAAATAATCCTGTAATATTTAATAAGCCAATTGAAGAAATGAATGATCTGAGAGTGAATGGCATTACTGTTGTCACTGAAGATGGTATTTTTCAGATTTATTTTGATATTGGCCTTATTCTTGGTGATAACCTTGGCTTACACTCTATTCTTGGTCTAGTTGAATGTTTTACTGCTACTTTTCCCTGTTTGTATTGCAAAATGTCCAAAGTTGAGACTGAGTCTTGTTGTCATGAAAACTGTGAGCTGATACGCAACGTTGACAACTACAAGAATGACTTGGCATTGAACAATACTAAACTTACAGGCATCAAGGAGGAATGTGTGTTCCATGAAATCGAAGGATTTCATGTAACTTTAAATCCTGCAGTCGATTTTATGCATGACATTCTTGAATCTGGCTGTTGCAATTATGATTTAATTGAAATTCTTTTCTACTTCATTGAAATTAAGAAGTATTTCACTCTTGACTTGTTAAATAGTGTAATAAGGACTCATGATTATGGAAATGTAAGTAACAAGCCACCTTTGATATCTGAAACTGATCTTAAATCTGGAAAAATTAGGATGTCTGCCAACGAAATGCTTGTTTTTGTACAACATTTGCCTTCTATGATTGGGAATTTCATTCCCCAAAATGATCGGTACTGGACCTTGTTTCTATTTTTGTATGATATTCTTGCCATATTATTGTGTGGCAGTCTTCAACAAGAGGCCATTGTACACCTTGATTATTTTATAGTGCAGCATCATTTATTATATGTTGAACTCTTGGGTTCTTCTCTTAAAAACAAACATCACCATATGTTGCACTATCCTAGGATAATAAGATTGTCTGGTCCACCTGTTCATTACTGGAGTATGCGGTATGAGTCCATGCACAGAATTTTGAAACGTTATGCTAATGTTTGTTTCTCAAGAGTAAATATTTGCATGTCAATTGCTCTTAAAGTGGAGCTAATTGTTGCTTTCCGCATTCTAACTAAAAGAGGCTTTTCTGCAAGGTTCAGTATGAGTGCGAGCTTTGAGAAAAATTCTGCTTCTCTAGAAAGTCTGTACAAAATTGTGTTTCCTGATACATTCAAGAGCAAGTGTGTCCTTCCAAAATTTGTGGATATCGATGGAATCCACTATACCTGTGATACTCCTATGTGTTTTGCTCTAGATGAAATGGGTCTCCCAGTTTTTGGAAAAATTGTACGGATTATTGTGAACAGACAGCGTGATGTCTGTTTTGTTTTTTCAGTGTTTAAAACAATTTTATTGGACCCTGACCTTCATAATTATGAAGTAGATAAAACTGATTTGTACACTTGTGTTCCTTTCAATGTATTGCCCTGGCGTTTGCCTGTATTTTTTCATGATAAGCCAGAAGGATACAGTGTGTCATTGTACCATGCGTTGTAAGCATTTGTTATTCATTTGTTGATGAACTTTTGTAATTTTTTACACAATATAAATTTGTTCTACTAATTATTCAACTTTTTAATGCAAGCCCCTTGTCCTACTTGAGAACACCAACACAAATATTCATTTTTTTGTGCAACCGGTACACACAGCTTAAAACAAAGAAGTTGGATTGTGGATGTAAAACTATTTTTATGTCCACATCACAAGTTATTTGAATGCACCCAGTGAACCATTCTTATCTCACGCACAAAATTGTTCGATGAAGCTCACAAAATAAATTAAGTATCAAAACAAAAGATTTTTGTTTAAAACGATACAACTTCTCGGAATGGTGGAACTATTCTGTGTAAAGAGGGGAAATAAAAATATTGGAATATCACAATAATATACTGCGTTTTTCATAAATAGACACTTTTATTCCTACCATACCTATTTTTATTTGTGAACATGAAACTCTTTCCATTACACCTGCATAAACCTGTTCTGTATCTGTAAAAAAACGACGCTGGTTGTGAGGCAAAACAGTTTGTTGCTGCGAACTAAACACAGCTCATGAAACGACTTTCGTTCCCCGAACTAAGTGTTTGATCAGTCCGTATTTCACTAATCAACTTTTGATGCCATGATCAAAATTTCGGTTGCTACGTCAAAACATTTCTCTCAGTGCAGCCGCATCCCCGGTGCCACCACAGCTCCACGGGCCGCCGGGCGGCTGCCGCCTCGGCTGCAGCATAGCAGCACATGGTTAATTAATCATGAGCTCCATGTGCCTCGCCAATGAGACGCGGCGATGACGATCGCGGGCGCCAACAGACCATCGAAGCTCGCGCGCTCG